TGTTCCAACATCCAGTCCCGAACACGGACCGGACAGTTCATCGCTGGGAGTTCGGAGATGAGACCTACCTGGACGCCAGCATCCTACACAACTCGGTGCCATTGGATCCCTACTTCCCCCAATCCTGCACCTCCGTCCAACTAGACTCTGGAAAGCGGCGAGTTCTAGACCTGACCCTCTTCAACCAGCGTGAGACAGTGGTAGTTGGTAGTGGTTTCACAGCAGGCATTCCTGCTCGTCCACTACCACCCACACCGACAACATTTGAGGACTTCCTTGCCACTTTGGAGCCTTGGGAAACAGCTCTTTATGACGAGCTTGAGTGGATGGTGGATGCCTACTCAGTCCTGCAGATTGTCACAGCCATGCCCTTCTGGGTGGCGAGTGATGGGGCTGCAGACATTGACGCAGGAAAGGCGAGTTTTGCTTGGGTTCTGGCAGACAATCGCGGTCAGATTGTGCTTCGGTGCTCTGGTCTCGTTTTTGGTATGGTTCTGACTTCCTACAGGGCGGAGGCCTATGGCATTCTATCCCCTACTTGCCTTCTTAGACGATTGCTGGAGTTCTACGATCAGACCAGCATGAAGAATTATGTACACTTATGCGACAATGAATCTGTGACGAATAAGTGCGCTAGCTGTCTCGAGTACGAGGGCTGGTACCCCAATGATTCGTTGGACTCCGACTGGGATGTCTTGCAGCAGATCGAGGATTCGTTCCGGGCTGCAGTCACTGTGCCCAAGATGGAGCACATCAAATCGCACCAGGACAAGCACAAGGCCATCGAAACACTACCCCTAAAAGCACAACTGAATTGCAGAGCTGACAAACTGGCAGGCAGTTACATGACCAGACACATCAAACAGGATCACTCCAAGGTACTCCGATTTCCGGCAAACCTGGCCCAGCTGCACCTTCCCAGAGGAACATGCACATACAAGCTCCCCAGAACCCTGCGGCATCTCAGGAACGACCAGCCACTGTTCGACCACATTGTCAAACTGAATCCCGGCTGGGACGAGGACACCCCTGCACTGGTTGATTGGACAGCCCATGGTCGAGCTGTCAACCGTCACGAGATCCACAAACCGACAATTGTGAAGTTCCTATTTCAATTGTTGCCAGTTGGGAAACGGATCCACCGGGATGACCCCAAGTATGATCACCACTGTCCCCGTTGTGGCGGTGATCACGAGACTGAAACCCATGTTTACCGATGCCCGCATGTTGACGTGGACTTGTGGCGAGGGACCATGCAACGAGCGATCAGCACAAAGTTGCGCAAGGATCCCACCGACCCCTTCCTCCTGGAAATTGCTCTGGATGGACTACAATACCACTTTGAAGATCGATTCCTCCACCCATGGCACTACCCTGACAGGTATAGGGACCTCGTTGACACTCAAAATCTCATTGGTTGGGACAACTTCCTGAGAGGACGTTTGTCCACACACTGGGCTAAGCATCAAGATGCATATCTGCATCGGGTCGGCCCCCAGGAGACCACCAAGACAGGGCAGCTCTGGGTCACCAACCTAGCCTCACTGCTCATCACGCAGTGGTGGAACCTGTGGGAGGATCGAAATGCTGCCAGGCATGGCAAAGACAGGGAAGACCAGTGGAAGAAGAAGCACGAACAGCTTCAGCGGGAAGTGGAACTCATTTACGAGAAAGCGGATCTGATCCCAGCGGAGATGGTGGATTTTATCTTCAAGCGACCGCTGGATGAGCAAATGGCAAAGGGCCCAGGCGACATCAAAGCGTGGCTTGCCAATTGGCTGCCCGTCGTCGACAAGGCACTCAGGGACGAGCATACACGCACAATGCAGAACAATGACACAGGGTAACTATGCACAGAGGGGGTCTTACCGTAGAAATAGATGGCAATCCAGCCAAGGGTAGCTAGTTAGTCGTACAGCACCCACCGGAGTTTTGTTAAATTTCTCCGGTGGGGGGCTTACACTAGGCCCATCCTAAGTGGGCGCACTTGTGCGCCTGAGGTATATGGGTTCGTCACGGCACCGTTCAGCGGATCGTCTGACGAGGTGTAGCCTTTAAAATAAAATCTCGTTATTTTTGAATAAATGTGTAAGCCATTGCTGTACGTTGCTTGAGCTCCTCCAGCCGGTCATCAGCGAGATGTTTGCTACCGTCGTTTGCACTCAAGTTAACTGATCTTTTGTGGACATTTGACCTCAGATGTGCATACAGACTGTTATAATTGACGAGATTAGCCCTGCTTCTACCGCTGGCCGATCTCGCGCAGAGAGTACAGACCAACCAAAGCTTCTGCCTACAACCAGGTGTTTCACAGGACAGCTGTTCCAAGATGTCAGAGTGCTCCGTTTTGAGCTGCCTACCTACAAGGTCAGTGTGTTCACCATGCTTCTTGCACTGAGGACACTCGTAGGGGTCCCTGTCCTTCGCAACATGTCTTTGGCTTTCTGACATGGTTTTTTCTTCTTCTTTTCTTTCTTTCTATCAGCAGAGAACACTCTCGCTTCTCTTTCTCTCGGATTTACTTTGTGATCAGGAGAAAATGTGAGGCAGTTTCACCAAGTAAGCCGAGACTTGGTTCTTGGGAAATGGCGGCAACACAATGATGATTAAAATTCGAATGGCGAGCAGGCCTCTCCTTCACATAGAGGCGTGACAGGAAATTAGCTGCCAGTCCAACTCAGTGCAGTTACCTCCAAGCCAAAAAAAGCCATTGCTGCGAAACCACATCTCTTTTTTTCTGTCCTCTTTGTGCTTTTTATTGTCACCATGGTGTTAGCAGCGGCCAATCTCCGCCAGAAGAATCCGGCTCCAGCTTCCAATTGGGCCAAATCAAAGCTTGGAGGATTGGACGTGCTGTTGTTGAACAGAGTGAGTATTCCCTTGTCCAGGAAAGATGTCCCAGATAGTACAGTGACCCAACACGTCAGAGAAGTCTGCCCACCCCTAGTGGAGTCAGCAGTGACGACATCAACAGAGAGACAAAGAAGGAGTTCATCGCCCTGAAGAACAGACTTCAAGAGAGCCTCAGTTCCCGGTGGAAGAGCGAAATAGTTGCCAGGGCAAGAAACAACAGTGTCCACAAGGCAGGCAGAAATAAAGACCTTGTTGACATGTTTGAAGACCTAGTCAGGTTGCTGACAATTGACCCTGACTTGGACATTGACAATGTTGTGAAATGCGGGAGCGTGGTCTACCCAATTCTCAACTCAAACAAGGAAAAGACGGTGAAAGAAATTGTGGAAGCCCTCGCAACCGAATTTGGTATTAAGTACCAAGACAACACTGCCGTTGGTGCAAGAGATGCAGTGTACCAGTTGGTTGTCAAGAACTCACTCCAGACCATTCGCAAGAACTTCAACAAGCCAACCAACAAGAAACTCAAGGATGAGCGTCTATACTTGAACGAGAACCAGATTGATGGGAGCTGCGAGCTTTTAGGCGGAAGGAGGGTGAGCAGCGACATTGCATTCTCATACCACAAAATTGGGAATCTAGACAAAGCATGCAGTGTCCTAGCTGGCGTCAAAGGTAAAGTCGATATGGTCAAGAAAGCTTCAGAACGGGCAGCAACTTGCGGTGCATCTAGAAGAGCATCAGTCAAGAGTGCATAACTGCCTCCTCGAAGAGCTAAAAATCAGACGAAGACCCCTCCACATCAGCTTTCTCTTCCAGTTCCTCTAACAGCAGCTCTTCTACCAAGATTTCTTTATCTAACCAGCATGAGGATCCGGATATTTGCTGTGCCGCTTCAAACGCAAGCACCATTTGCGATAAGATCCAAACGGGATCCATGAATGCGCCACTGGGTGCGCCATAGCTGTGCAGACTTAGCTGTGTGACATCATTGCTGAAACCCGTGTACAGTCAAAGAGTACAGCCAGCAATGCTATCATCAAGCACTGTATGTATTGCTGAGGCAAGCCTAGATACCAAGAGCATGCATGACATACAGTATGTATACCCTGGGTATGATAGAGATCAACAAAGCCTCTCCAGAAGACATATCTACAGTTGAGCCTTCTGGAAGAAAAGCTCATAGGATTAACAAGTTTGCAATATCGATACAAGAGTGGCTACATCAGTGCAAGTGAAAGAGTGGAAGAGTGGAACCGAAGAAACATCCAACGAACAGAAGAATCGTGACACGAAAACGCCGATCGGACCGAAAACTGGAATCGCGACCGATTTGAGCGAAACCAAGTGGTCCACCTATCAACATAGCATTGTTGCCGTCTTGTTAATACCCTTGGTTACGGCTGCTGATAGTGCAATACAAGCGCCATTGTCTTCGATCGATCTTCCATACGAAAAGCTAGCGATTTTCCCAGTCGTGCTTCCGAGGATACTGACAACGCACCGGTACTCACAAGGGACTCACAGAACCGGTACCGTACCTCCATTCCGAAAGCAAGCCGACACCGGTTCCACAGCGATCCTCACATTTTCCTTGGATTTCCGAACTCCACGAAAGAACCCGGAAACCCTCGAAGATACGTGCTCCCATTCCGTCGCTCCGGTATCAGCTTCCAGTGTAACTGAAGGCACTCGAAGACACCTTGCGGTCTGTTTCAGAGTATTCCACGGGTACCAGTGTGTCCAGCAGCCTCTGCTTAGTCATCCCCTAGCAGCGCAAGTCTTCATGACCCCTTTTGGATTTTCTACAGCAACACCACTACAACACTGTTAGCAGCCAGTGCACCAATCATCATGGGTAGTAACAACAACAACAAGAAGAAGAAGCAACAACAGGAGCCTGGTGTCAATGACACCACGTCATCAACACCAGCATCCAATGGCAACAACACACAGAACAACACCAACAGGTCCACTACTACAGAGACACCAGCTCCAGCTCCAGCTCCCTCTGCCAAGAACACACCTGTGGATCCCCCTTCAGTCTATGTGTTGACACCACACAAAAACACTCCTTCCAGTGTGGCTTCTTCCAATCTAGCCACCATGATACTACAATGCTCAGCCAACACATTGAGCAGCTTACAATGGAACTACAGGCCACATCAGACAAAGCTGCCAACGAAGCATTGAACAGATCAGAGCAAGTTGCCAAGGAGGCACTGGACAGACAAGTCACCTTTGAGAATGCACTCTCTAGGCAACTCTCCTCCTATCTGGACAAGTTCTCCCAGCAACAGGAGGACCTGAACCAGTCCAATGCCTCCATCCAAGGTCTAGTCACCACCTTCATTGGCCAGGCCAACAAGCAACTTTCCTCCATGGGTATCGGTGGCATCCACTTCGATCCCTCCGGTGCATCCAATGCATCCTCTTCCCTCAATGGCAAGGTGCCCGCTCCAACGGAATCGATTCAGTCATCCAACAAGCCTAGTCCTGAGATGAAGACTAGGGGGACCGATGCATTTCCAGATGGCACGCCACAAAGCTTGATGAGTGGTATTGAGGAGCCTCTCAGTCTCAAAGAGAGCATCATTGACCAACTGAAGGCCCTCAAGGAGGAGGAATACACCCATCAGACCACAACACCGTTCCACACCAGCCACCAGAACAGTCTCCCACCGTTCCCTCTGCAGTACACTCCCATCCAGCCCGTCTTATCAACTAGTGCCCCCATGTTCCAGTTTCCCAAGCGTCACCATGCCTTCCATGGTCCACAACAACCATGCAGGCAACCAGACCTTCTGTTCCATTCCATGTTACCCAAGGGACACAGCACGCACTACTCTGGCAGATGGCTGCTCAATCCGGATAATGAGAGGGTATGGATTCACTACTCCACACCGCTGGATGCCGCAGAACTACCGGCCAATGTTCCCAATGACCCAACACATTGGATCAACCGGAGATTCCCAGATGGATACGTCCTTCTACCCAATGGGGAATGGTTACTACCCTACCCCACTGATAGGACCTACAACTACACCAGGCCAACTGACCCTGTGTTCACCCCGGCTACCACAGGCCTCACTCCTACAACTGCCTATACCACACCAGGACAGCCAGTAGCAATGCCTGTGGAGGAGCCCACAATGAGGAATCCCGTCTTCACGCCCCACCCTGTCACCAGCAATGTCATGCCACGACCGATGGACAAACCCTCCATATTCTCAGGCTTCCACGGTACAACACCCATGCGAGGCTTTGACGGACACAACCCTAGCAAGACAGGTGATCCTGGTGACCCATGTGGATCTGGGTACCATGGTGACAACCACAGTGGCTTCAACTATGGCGACGGCCGTGATACACCCAACTAGAGCCACAGCCCAGGCCCACCTGGTGGCCATGGAGACCCTGATGGTGGTGGCAACCCTCCAGACCTTGGAGGAGGCGGAGGTGGAGATGACCCTGACCCCAAAGGCAGGTACTTCCATGCAAGGCCACATGCACGTGCCTACCCCAAACTCAACAACAACAAGACTTTTGACAGCTGGTATGAGGCTGTTATAACCACAGCCAGAGCCCGAGACATGTTTAAGATCTTTGACACAGAGTACACACCCAAGAACAAGGCTGCCTGTGACGAACTCAAGAGGATGAATGCATGGTTCTTTGCGGTGCTACAGAAGATTGTAAAGACTAGCAATGGAAAGGTGATTGTTAAGTCCCACTTTCATGACTGCAACTGCTATGACATCATAGTCAAGCTCATTGCCGATGCCCACGTCTCTGTTGCTGGTACACTGGAGTCTGTTGATACCCTGGCTCACAAGCACCCGCTACGCCACTTCCAAGGGATCCGCCATCGAGTTCATCATCAAATTCAATGAAACCGTCACCAAATACAACGACGCTCGTCGCGATGGTCAGGACAAGCTCAGCGACAGTATGCAGAAGCTATTCCTCCAGAATGCATTTACATCCATCAGAGTCTTGAATGACATTCGAGCCCGCGAGCATGAGCGAATCACCCGCAAAGGAGTACAGGAACGGTACCTATACGAGGAGTATATGGAGACACTGAAGAATGCTGCCACCCTCTTTGACATCAACAACAAAGTGACACCCAACACAAGAAGGGCCCACATGACTGATGTTGGTGGTGATGAAGAGGAAGATGAGGAACACCACTCATTGCAGGCCTTTGCCATGGAAAGGGACCCATTAGCCAGGCTTCCAGACAGTCATTGGAGCCAGCTGTCCTTCCCTGCCCGCCGAATCTGGCACCAATTTGATGATGCTGACAAGAAAGTCCTGATGTCATCCCCGCCCCCACAGGCGGCCAAACGCCAGGCAAACGTTACTGACATGGTTGAACATGAGAGTGAAGCTGACCCAGAAGTCGGGGACACCGCATCGGTATCAACCATGGAGGCCAACAACACTAGTACCGTAGGTAAGGCAACCCCAGCCAAACCTACATCCTCTCCCAGCCACTCTGCTCCACAGGCAGCCAAGAATGACCAGCACCCAGGCGACGTCAGAAGGATGATGTCCCCCAGCAAGGGGAATCGACAGGGCCACACCGTGTCCTTCTCCCAGAGTGGGCACCTTGTCAACACCCATGCCTTCACCAAGCTGGATGACGATGTTGAGTCCAAACTAGCCGCCTACTGGTCCTCTGCTCAAGCACCTGCCAAGCCTAGACGCCCAGGACCGGAGCCAGAGTCGGATTTTTGGTAGGGCAACCTGTGTATGTGCTGCACAGGTACAGCCCTAGAAACTCAAGCACAGCCCATGTCAGCGGGGTAGCATGCCCCCCACAATTTGGGGCTACCTTCCGCCGATAAGGGCATGCAACGGCAAGTCCAAGTGCTCGACATGTCGTTCAAGGAGTCTGATAGCACACCATGTTCTGTAATGTACAACGTATCCAATCACTCCTGGTCTAAGCTACAGTGGAAAGCTCTCATGGACCGGGGAGCAAACGGATGCATCCTTGGAAAGGATGTCCGTGTTGTACACCTATATGGTAGATACATCGATCTCAGTGGAATCGATGATCACACTGTTCAAAACTTACAGCTGGCCACAGCTGCTGCCTACATCCTCACGGATCATGGCCCCATCATCGGCCTCTTCCATCAAGGTGCCATCATGTCCCGTGGAAAAACCATCCTGTCCCCAGGCCAATTGGAACACTTCGGTTGTGATGTCCATGACAAGTCAAGACTGTCCACTGGCACTGACCCATACTTTGTAACACCCAATGGATTCAGAATACCCATGGCTGTCAAGTCTGGGCTACCCTATGTCCAACTCAGGCCACCTACTGATGATGAACTTGATGATAGTGCCATTCCCCATGTGGACCTAACCAGCCCCCATGTTTGGGACCCATCTTGCCTTGATTCGGTACCAGCTGCTGATTGGTTTGACCAGCAGAACAATGACCTCTACGATGATGGGGAGTCCCCATTGGACCCACTTGGTAAACTCCGAGACTTTGACGACGACTTTAATGATTGCTCCGACCGGAATCACCTGTCTATTTACCGCCGAGGCATTATCAAAGCCATGGCCCACCTGATCGATGACGAACTGTCCGTTCCTTCACTGGTCCAACGGGAATCCAATGGATATGACTCTGACTCATCCGATGAGTCTCTCTCTGATTCCCCTCGGTCATGCCACATCCAGACCCGGTCACAGCTCAGGCAACGTCAACGTCAACGTCAACCACCCCCACCCGCCCCTACTGCAACACCTTTACCTTCGGATGCTGGGGAGAAATTGCACAAGGAGACACCTACAGCTGGCATTCCAACTGCAGCCAAGCCTCCCAGCCTAAGATCACCCTCAGGAAAGGCCAAACCAGTGGTCGAAACGGTACTGCAAGATGACAATACGGACCAACCCAAATCCAACAACAGGGCCAAGCACCACACTGGACTAGAGCACCCCACCAACTCAAGGAAGCTCAAAACCCCAGATGTCTCAGAACTCCGACGTTTCTTCCCTGGTGTCACCGATGAAACCATCAAGAGGACATTCAATGCCACCACACAGTATGGCACCAAAGGTGCAACTAAGGGAAGGACTCTGAGAGGGCAAATCGTATCACCCAACCCCATCTTGAACATACCAAGAAGGCACGAGGACGTGGCCACTGACACCATCTATGGTAGCACCCCAGCTATTAATGACGGGTCTACAGCTGCCCAACTGTTCATTGGAAGGACCTCACACTACAGGACACTCCGCCCTGGTGGGAAGTCTGACGCCAGCTACATCAAGAACCTGATGGACGAGATCAGGAAGCTAGGTGCCATGAATAGGATGCGATCTGACAATGCCCAAGCTCAATGCAATGAAAGGGTCAAGGACGTCTACAGGACCTTCTGTATCGATGACTGGCAGTCTGAGCCCTACAGGGGGAACCAGAACTTCGCCGAACTAGGTTGGAAGGATACCAAGAGGAAGATCCAGATGGTCTTGGACACCAGGAATGTCCCTTCTGACTGCTGGTTACTGTCTGGACAGTTTATCTGTGCCCTACAGAACCACATTGCACTTGAGGTACTTGGATGGAGGACCCCATTCGAATGGTTGTTTGGATTCACCCCTGACATCTCTGCCCTCATCCAGTTCGAGTTCTATGAACCCGTCTACTACCAAAAGTATGGCGGATCCTTTCCCAAGGACTCGGCCGAGGCCATTGGTCGGTTCGTTGGAGTTGCAGAGGATGTAGGACATGGTATGACCTACAAGATACTGACTGGGTCTGGGAAGATCATCACAAGAGCAGTGGCACGAACAGCAAGGAAGGGAGCTGAATTCAGCAACTGGAAGGCTGATGAGTTGGCACCCAAGCTGGCACCCAAACCCAAACCAATCTCAGGACGAAAGTCCCCAGTTAGTGAAGCTGACCCTAGAGTCGGGGCCACTATGGAGACCAATGTACTTAAGAAAGAAAGTGGATTGGACGAAACAGAAGGAAACGAGGAGTTCTTTGCAGCCATCCGCAAAGACATCAGCTCAAGCCTCCAAGACAAGGATGTGCTGAATGGTGGTAGTCTTCCCACAATCGACATCACCAACCTCCTCAACAGATCCTTCATCACCAACCCCAACGAGGAAGGAGAACAATCTCGAGCCAAGGTTGTATCTGCCGAACCTACTGGGGAGACAGATGCAGATGGATCTGAAGCCGTCTACAGATTCAGGTGCAAGCACGGGGAGGACTACTTTGATGAGGTACTGGCCTACAGCAAAATGCTAGAATGGTGTGAGAGAGACCAAGACAATGACGACATGTACCGAATAGATGCTGTCATCAGCCACCGTACCTCCAAGACCAAGTCAAAGTACCAGGTACTAGTCAGTTGGGCCAGTGGAGAGACCTCTTGGGAAGACATGGGTGATATCTTCAATGATGACCCAGTATCAATATCCATCTATGCAATGAAGAATGGTCTGCTCAAGGCCGATGGATGGAAACGATGCAGGCCTTACACCAAGAACGCCAAGGTCTTTGCCCGCATGGTGCACCAGTCCAAATTGAAGAACTTCCGCACCAAGCCCATCTACCAATATGGCTACCAAGTTCCCCGAAACCACTCTGAAGCAACGTTCATTGACGAACGAAATGAAAACACCAAGTGGCAAGATGCGGAGAAACGCGAGATTGCCCAACTCATGGAGTACGACACATTCGAGTCACTAGGAAAAGGCACACCTGTCCCGAAGGGATACCAAAAGATCCCATGCCATATGATCTACACCGTCAAACACGATGGGCGCCACAAAGCAAGGTTTGTTGCTGGTGGTCACAGAACGGAGACACCAGTAGACTCAACATACTCAGGTGTTGTGTCCCTTCAAGGGATACGTCTGCATGGTAAGCTTCCTAGCTGAACTGAATGGACTGGAACTATGGGCAACGGACATTGGCAATGCCTACCTAGAGAGCTACACCACAGAGAAGGTATGCTTCATTGCTGGTGGAGAGTTTGGGGAGCTAGCTGGACACAGTATGAAAATGATCAAGGCACAGTACGGCCTCAAGTCATCTGGAAAGTGTTGGCACGACAAGCTCCATGATGTACTGCGTGGCTTCGGTTTCAAGCCCTCCAAGGCTGAGCCAGACATCTGGATGCGAGACTGCCGTGACCACTACGAGTATATTGGTTGTTACGACGATGACCTCCTCATAGCATCCAAGCAACCGCAGAAGATTATTGATATGTTGCAAGCACCACCCCACAAATTCAAGCTCAAAGGAACCGGGCCTGTCACCTTCCACCTTGGATGTGACTTTGAAAGAGACAGTGATGGAACACTCTCAATGACACCCAAGAAGTATGTTGACCGTGTCAAAGCACAATATGTATCATTGTTTGGGGAGAACCCAACCACCAAGGTCACAAGTCCTGTGGAGAAGAACGACCACCCAGAACTTGACACTTCCCCTCTCTTGGACGATGATGGCAAATCAAAAACCCGTCCCTCATTGGGGCTCTACAATGGGCCATATCTCTCGGAAGGTTTGACATTGCCGTGTCCGTCATGTCCCTCTCATCGTTCAGGGTAGCCCCAAGAGTCGGACACCTTGAAAGACTTAAGAGGATTACCGGATTCCTTGTCAAGATGAAGAATGGAGCAATCAGGGTCCGCACCGAGGAGCCTGACTACTCCCAGCTGGAACACCGTGTCTACGACTGGGAACGGACAACATATGGCGATGTCAAAGAGGAGCTCCCAAATGATGCACCACCACCAAACGGCAAGCCAGTTGTCTTGACAACCTATGTAGATGCCAACCTTTACCATGATTGGGTGACGGGGAGAGCCGTCACTGGAGTCCTACACTACGTGAATCAGACTCCCTTTGAATGATACTGCAAGAAGCAGGCTACTGTGGAGGTAGCAACATATGGTTCTGAGTTTGTGGCTGCCAGAGTTGCCACCCAACAAGCCATTGCAGCAAGGGTGACACTCAGGTATCTTGGTGTAGAGGTAAAGGGACCTATCTACATGTTTGGAGACAATGGTTCTGTGGTCACCAGTTCGACACAACCTCATTCCCCACTCAAGAAACGACATGACGCCTGTTGGGGATTCGCGATTAGGGATTGAACCTGTACCTCTGTACTAGAATTTCATGCCAGTAGAAATACATACAGAGCCCACCCACTTTTTCAGTAGTATCTCAATAGCAAGTAAACTAGAAGAGACCTTAGAGCAACTAACATACTACTGAAAAAGGCTGCTATCACAATAGCAGTGGTCGGTGCAACGAAGAGGAGTATGTCGCGACAAGAGAAGAATCGATCGAACGACAGCAACAGCCGAAGCACGAACGCAACAAGTAGAAGAACGTCGACGACGACGCGAGCGACGCGATCGACGAGATCGACGCGAGCATCGGCAACAAGCACAAGACCAGGAGACTGTCGAGTGAACGACAGCAACAAGCCCTTCGGAGCGACTGAAGGCAACGCGACAATGCAAGATCCAAGGACGGATCGCGACGCCGCAACGAGGGAAGGATCCGAGGACGGATCGATCGTGACGACGCGAGAGGCGAGCGCCGACAAGCGGCGCTCGCCGACAAGCGGCGCTCGCCTAGAGCAGCACTGCACGACTAGTTGAGTAGAGTAGGGTGGTGGAGAGACTCGGCCATTTACTGAGCCGACCGTCTCCGCTACCCAGGGGTGCCGCTCGTGATTGCTAGAATCCCGAGCGGGAACCAAGGCACGAATGAGGCAGTCCCGCGGGATGTGAGTCCCGCGTGATTGCACGACATTCGGCCAACCCAGGGAGGGAGAGGTGGGTTAATCTATTCTAGTTCTTGCTTGCAGCTCGGCTGAAGGAAGAATTGTGAGCAGAGAAGGAGACAACCCTTCTTGTGATCGACTGTTCAATGGCTGAAAGGGAGAGTTGGACCGGTCTTGCATGTTGTGTTCATTCAAGGTTGCTATCTGTGAGCGGTCTTCGAGGGGTGCTATTGCCTTAGAGCCGATCTTGCGAAGGAGGCAGACATAGCGACCTGTATGTGGGGTATCCATTTCAGGAACGCAGGTGATGACCTGAGAGATGTAGAGATGTACTTGATGTGTAGGAGCGAAGTGGGAATCGATTTTGTGTTTTGTGAGTGGTACAGTTTGGCAACTGTGAGTTGAGTCATTCGTCGAAGAACCCATGAGGGTTCAGGTTTGCGTGAAAGAGTAGGGATCAGGATCGTTGTCCTCTTTTGCGTGCGGCTGCTCGACAACGAGCGCCGACAAGCGGCGCTCGCCTAGAGCAGCACGCACGACTAGTTGAGTAGAGTAGGGTGGTGGAGAGACTCGGCCATTTACTGAGCCGACCGTCTCCGCTACCCAGGGGTGCCGCTCGTGATTGCTAGAATCCCGAGCGGGAACCAAGGCACGAATGAGGCAGTCCCGCGGGATGTGAGTCCCGCGTGATTGTACGACATTCGGCCAACCCAAATAGCCAAAGGCAGAACAGGGTGGGAGCGTAGCGGGGTGGGAAAGTTTGAGAGACCGAGAGGAGGCAAGGTCTCTCGGGAGAAAGATTGGACTAAGGGAGGTTAGTCCTCGTAGAGTTCCGCATGAAGGAGGATCTCTGCGATAGTAGCAGGCGCCTGAGCAGGCGGGAGGAACTTGTCGTAGGATCCCGCCTGGAAGGTGTAGGCACCATGGGCCAGCATTTTCTGGGAGTAGTGGTGCGTGATGGTGGCGGCCTGGATTCGGAGGTAGCGCAACATGGCGTCTGACTTCCATCGACCGAGGAGGCGGATGGCATCAGAGTCCACATGGGCGCAGAGGAGAGCAGTGGCGCCGCCCGGACGGAGGGAGCGAGCGGACACTTTCATGTGGGAGATTCCGGTGGTCCGTTCGAGCCGCTTTGCGGCAGCACGAAGGGCATCGGTGATGAACTTGGGCTTGACGTTGTACCATTTCTTACGGACGGAGTTGTAGTGTTTGTAGAGTGGAGTGGAGGCGCGGGCCTCCAATGGAGTGTTGAGAGTGATGTGCGCGGAGCGGATGTGACGGACGAGACGGGCGAGGGATTTGACAGGACAGAGCCAGGGGTCAACGGTAGCCCGGTGACCCACCGACTCGCCTTTGACAGCGTTCTTTTGGTCAGTGAATGTCAGCGAAGCCGCGGTGAGGCGACTGGGGTCAGACACGTCATTCAAAGAGATCTTGTCAGCGGTGACTTGAAAGCGACCGGCGATGGTGAAGGTGATGTCCTCAAGGAGAAAGGCCTGGCTTCGGGCCTCAGGGTTACTGGTGTCGAGGTATTCGGCAGGGCGGAGGAGCCAGAAGAAGGCGCAGATGCAGAGGTCCCGGGTGTGTTGGTTGACGGTGCCCCGGACGGGGTCAACGTAGTCGAGAGCGGAGAGCATTTCTTGGAGGATGGAGATGTTGGCAGGGTAGGCCCGGTCGGGAGGTCCGTCGCCGTCATGGAGTCCTTTGTAGTAACCAGTGAGTATGGGATGGAGCTTTCCGTCGGAGCCGAGTCTGGGATCAGGCTGGTCCAAGTTGGATATCCCCTCGCCGACGGCGTGAAGGGCTTTGACCACTGTGTCAGCTCGGACAGCGTTCGACACGCGGTAGTTGTGGGCGAAGGCAGGAGGTAGCAGATACGGACCTCGGGCTCAGGATATCACGGAGGGTTGCGTGGCCTGGTGGCGATCGCAGAATTCACACCACGCCGAAGGTGGGTTGCGGGCCTGAGCGGTTTGAGACGATGCTTTTGGAGGCAACTTGCAGCGAGCGGGAGAGTAGACTGAAGTGATCTCGGGTGGCGCGTAACCCCTTCCAGGGTAGCTGCTGCGGATAGTGTGCTCAAAGTGGGACAGGAGTTCGGACATGGTGAGATGTTGGAGACGAGATGTGTCGTCGGCCATGACGTTAGCCGGTCCTGGGATATACGACGAGAGGGGGCAGTAACGGTGTTTGCGTTGATGGAGACAGGCGTAGTTGCAGAGGAAGGCGGCAGGACCATCAGTGGAGACGGCCCCTTGGCCACCCGGGAGACCGCTGGGTGTTGTCCGAGAGCGTGTAGAGGTTGCGTACGGACGTCGTGGCGGTCGGCGAGGAGAGCTTGCTGGGCCAGAATGCCAGCGTGTTCCAGATCGCTGTTGGTGATAGAGCCGGAGAGGTTGCGGCCGAGACCAGGTCGCGCTGGATGTC